CACAGGGCAGGGAACCATGAATGCTCTTTGGATTAGAGAGGGAGGGGGAGAGGAGTAGGGGGAGGGGGAGAAGGGTGGGGGGAGGGGGAGGGAAATGGGAGGCTGGGAGGACGTGGAAACTTTTTTTTTCTTATTCTCAATAAAAAAAAAAAAAAATCCTCAGACTGAATGTGTCCTCTCTCTATCAAACAAAGGTGTCCTGTCTCTAAGAAACCTCAAAGTGAGTGCTCTGAGATCCTGTCTCTCCCACCTTATATTCCTCTCTCTGTCTGGCCATATCACTCCTGACTCCACCTTCTTAGTGCTATAATTAAAAACATATGATCCCACGTGCTGGAATCAAAGGTATGAACTCTTTTTCTGTTTTAGACTGATTCAATTGCATGTAGCCCAGGTGGACTTGATCTCACAGTGATCCATCTGCTTCTGTCGGCTGAGTTGTAGCGATAGGAGCGGAGGGGCTGCGTACCCGGCACCCAGCCGCCCACATGGCTAGCTTATGCCCAGAAATAATTACACGAAAACTGTATTCTTTTAAACACTGCCTGGCCTGGCTAGTTCCAGTTTCTTATTGGCTAGCTCTTACATATTAATCTAACCCATTTCTAATATTTTGTGTAGCCCACGAGGTGGCTTACCATGGAGGATCTTAACCTGCATCTGTCTGGCGTGGGAGAATCATGGCGACTCTCTGATTCAGCTTCTTTCTCCCAGCATTCTCTTCTGTTTACTCCACCCACCTATGTTCTAACCAATAAAATGGGCCAAGGCAGTTTTTTTTATTATAATTAACCAATGTCCTTCCTCCATCACTGAGTGCTGAGATTAAAGATGTGTACCACCACTGCAGGGCCTCTATGGCTAACTACTGTGGATAGCTCTGTACTCTGATGTTCAGAAAGTCTTTATTTGTTACAGCACAAACAAAATATTATCACATACTTCAGTAAGTACTGTGGAGGAATGTCTCTTAAACACTTTAAGATCATTTTATTTCAACTAGACCTAGTAAGAGTGTTGATAAATCCCATAATTTATCTATTTTTATGTAATTGACTAAATATACCCAGCCATAAGGACTGTATAAATTTACACTTCATCCAATTGTGTATAACTGTTCTCCATACTTCCACTCACAAAAGCATTTGATAACCATTATTTTTGAAATTTTTATGTACTTAAAATGTTTCATGATATTGAGATTGCTATATCTTCTTACATAATAGACACTGATACCATTTGAGTTCTGGGCACATAAAGTTCACAGTTCAAACTGCAGTATGCTACAAATATTTATTATACATATATTTTAATAATGATATTAATGAGAGCAAATATATGAGTAAAGCAATAATCCATGTTAATTTTGTAGAAACATTTTAATATCAGCATAAATAGTATCATTTTATAGAATATTTGTACAATCAGAAGTTATAATGTATCATATTATGTTAGGATAGGAATTCACTGTCTAATTTCTGTTATTGATATCATTGACACAAATGTTGTGAATTAAACATGGAAATAATTGTACTAGCATATAATAATAAGCATACTATTCAAGCTTAACTAGTAGTGAATCACCAGAAATGTAAGACATGTGTGTAGCTCACTTTACATTTCCAAAAGACAGCACTATTCTGACATATGACAGAAATATGACTATAGAAGAAATGATCAATTTTTAGTAGAACAGAATGTCCCAAAGACTCTTGTCATGGCTCCCAGGACTTCTTTATTTCTCAGACTATAGATGATGGGGTTGAGCATGGGGGTGAGAATGGTGTAGAAGACAGCCAGAATCTTATCTTCTGTGGGTGTACGGAGACTTCTAGGTCGAAGATAAGTGTAGACAAAAGGTGCATAAAAAAATGACACCACAGTTAAATGAGTGGAACATGTGGTTAAAGCCTTTTTTCTCCCCTCTTTTGAGTGCATATGGAAGACAGCAAAAAGGACCCGACCATAGGAAGCTGTGATGCCAAGGAAAGGAAATAGGAGAAAGAGGCCTGTGCTCAGGAACACCATATACTCATAAACCCAAGTGTCCATACAGGCCAGGGGAATCATGGCTGGAATATCACATAAGAAATGATTAATGGACCTAGAATGGCAGTAAGGAATATGAAGAACATAAATTGTATGTGATAAGGCATTAATGGAGCCCAGTGTCCAAGATCCTATGATCATCTTCAGGCACATCATTTTGCTCATGCGAATGGGATAATGTAGAGGGTGGCAGATGGCCACAAAACGATCATAGGCCATGGAAGCCAAGAGCAAGCCCTCAGAACATGCCATGGTGAGAAAGAAGAAGAATTGCACTCCACAGCCAAGGAACGAAATGTTTTTCTTACCAGTGAGGAAGTTGAATGCCATCTTGGGAACAGTGGTAGAAATATGCATCAGGTCCATAAGAGAAAGCTGACTGAGGAGAAAGTACATGGGGGTGTGGAGCTTGGGATCCACACGAATGAGGTGGATCATTGCTGAATTCCCAAGCAAGGCCACAGAGAATATAGAGATGATAAGCAGCAGAAGCAGTAGGCCTGTTTGGTTTTGTGGAAACAATCCTAATAAAATGAAATCATTTGAGGTCTGATTCCATTTCTCCATGAAAATGTATTGCTTTCTCTTCCTTGGAAAAAATGACCTGGAAGTAAAATACTTTGATCATATGAATTAGAAAAGGAGAATATAGAGGAACTTGCTTGCACTCAATTTTTCTTCATGTAGCTCCATCCTTCTGTTGAACTTATCATGAAATCTGAGCTACAGGTTCCTTTCTCGTAGCCTCTGGCCAGCTTCTCAATTTAAAGATACCTCTACAGTAATTTTAAGTTCAATGGTGGCAACATGAGTAAGGTAGTTAATATATTTCCCCAAAAAATAACGCCATGCAAGACCATTACTCAAGATTAGCAGTATAGCATACAAAACATAGAAAACCTCTCCCTTTTGCACCACTTGCATGCTGGCCCCTGTACCAATAATAGGACATACTGTAGACAGATCACAGGGATCTGCTCCTTGGTGCTCTACATTTCAAATTCTGTAATAAAACTTTGCCTTTTCTGAAAATAACCTCCTCTCACAATTCACTTTTTTGAAACTAAAAGGTATTGTGTTTACTCAAATCCACTTTAATCATAAGATGCTTTTGGATACTTTGGTTTGTGAAAATTTTAGTTATCAATTTAATACACATTCACAATAAAAGTGATTCTACAACAAAACACAATAAATGACACACACTGCCTAATATGTATTTTTGTTATATTTTACCATTGTAAATATTATACACATATGCCCCAATAGTATACATGTTGCTTATATATACTGTTTTCTCTTTTTTCTATGCAGCTCAGATCTTTATACTCCACTGGCAGAAATAAGAACTCCTTAAAACATGTTTATGGGGCAAAATGTGTAGGTGTGCAATGTAGACTCTTCTCACCAATATTTTTATTTTTATATTTTCACTTACTTAATTCTATGTATTTGTAGTGGAGTAGGTGGATGCATACAAATTCAATGACTTCTTGTACTTTTTTTTAAATAAAAATTTGGTAGAGAAAGGGTAAGACACAGCTGGACTGGGACTTGCCTTTAGCCACTAAATGTAAGCACGATGTAAGCAGATCTGTGTGAAGTTCCCTACTCAATGTGATGAGAAAGGAACAGGGTCTGGAAGGAAAGAAAAAGAGGACAAAAATCAATTAGATAAGTGGTTGTTCAGGAAAAGTGTGAGGGAAATTGTGTATGAAGAATAGAACTTGAAATCTTATCTGTGTAAATTGGGAAAACACAGAAAGTAATATGTTCTTAGGAACATTTCTAGACTTCAGATAAGTTTTTTTCAGAAAATAGTTGCTGTGAGGATCATGCAAAGAAGACTACTTAAAGCAAATAAGAATGTCTGATAACTTACCTGGATTTGAAAATAGAACCACACATCTAACAAAAATCATTGACACCTGATAACACGAGGAGAGTGGATGCCTACCTGGACATAAGAGATTCTCTGATTACTCATTGATATCTATTCCCTGGAACAGCACTTATAATAGGCATTCAACCTGTGTGTCTGTTGAAATGAATAAAACTTTATCCTTGGAGATGATAGGATAACATGATCATACTAAAAGAGCTGACAATATTATGTGTAAAATCTTGTCTTCTGCATCATGCCTTGTGAACAAAGAACCTCTTATGTGTACTATCTTGATTTCCTTGAACATTGGTTTAGCCATAGAGGAAGAACCATTCCAGCCAGCCTTGCAGAAGTGTTCTAGTTCATTAGACAAAATCTGCACTAGACACATAGTACACATTTAATTTCTATAAAAGGAATATACAGGTGTGTGTTCTCAGATTACCTCTCAGTGATTCATTACCATGCTTTGGGGACAGTCACTTCCGTGATTATTTTGTATCCAATATCAAGATATGGTCATCTTGGTCATTAATATTTGGGAATATCTATTTTAAGGGTGCAGATACCTGCAACTTAAGGTTTAAGATATAAGATTTTGATCTATATAGAGTTAAAGATTTTTCCATTGTTGACCAGATAATTTCAATATTGGGTATAAGCTTGTATGAGTGTGGTTTTTTTCCAGACAAAGTTACTTTGTGAAGTCTTGGCCATCCTGGAACTTCCTCAATATATAAGGCTGGCCTCAAACTCAGAGATCCACCTGCCTCTGCCTCCCAAGTGCTGTAATTAAAGGCATCCACATTACCACCCTCCCAAGTGCAGACTTTATTTAACATAGAGTCACATAAAGAATTGTATCATTAGCCGGGCGTTGGTGGCACATGCTTTTAATCCCAGCACTCGGGAGGCAGAGGCAGGTGGATCTCTGTGAGTTCGTGGCCAGCCTGGTCTACAAGAGCTAGGAGCTAGTTGCAGGACAGGAACCAAAAGCTACAGAGAAACCCTGTCTCGAAAATCAAAAAAAAAAAAAAAATTGTATCATTGATTACATTTTAACAATGTACGAGACAGATGTACTTTTAGTGTGTCCCTTGAGCATTCCAAAATACCTGACAAACATAGAATTGTTTAATGCCCTGTTGTAAAAGTCCTACTGTATAGAAGTGCTACATATGCAGAATGCTAGTTTAATTTTCTCAAAATTACAGATATGTAAACAAAATAGAGACACACAACAAAAAAATCTACAGAGCACAAGACCAGGTACACAGATATCTAGTGTATCTGCTTAGTCTTTAAGCATTTTTGTGACTCTAGAGAACATGAACCTCAGTGAGCTGCCTGCATTCAACAAATGTTGAATACCAACAAATGTTGGTATTCCAGAAGTGTCTGTCTCTTTTCTCAATTCCACATCTTGGCTTTTGAGAAACTTGAACATCAGCAATAAATCTCTTATTTATTTTCAAAACATTCAAAGCAGCACATTGTAGAATTCAAACATGATTAAATTTTTTTTCTATTGCATTTTAAGTTCACTTTTGCTTTTCTAATTTGTTAGGAAAATCCTAACAAGGGCTTCCTCAGTACAAGAAAAACATACCTCCAGAATGTCTTCTAATTAACCTAAGAAGCAACTCTGCTTGATTATGACTTTTGGACTTAATTTATGCAAAGATCTTACACTTGAATTTGCATTTGTGAGAAAAGGTACCTTTACAGTACAACCATTCCCTGCAGAGAGTCTCTGGGTCTTGAGAAGTCTTCAGATCCTCTTTTGTTCATGTCTTCTGCCAGGTATGCCACAAGATCTGCTCCTTGTGCATAAGCCTCAATTGAAATTTGAAAAACTGCTCCCTATACAAAAAATCACTTCTTTCTTCAAAATACCAAAAAAAAAAAAAAACTTTCAAGGATTATCTAATACTATTTTATTTCCTCTTATGCATGATGAAACCAAAAGAACCTTAACCCACCTGGATTATATTTGCATTTTTATTGCTCACATAAATCATTTCTTACTAATTATTTTAAATGCAACAAAAGAGAAGTTTTAGATTTATATTGTACATACTATATTGGTGAAATACAGAATGGCAAATGCTGTAGTTTATGTGCACCACCTTGCATCACCAAGTCTTAGATTTCCTCTTTTTCCTCTAATTGATCCCTTGTGTCTAAACCTACAGAGACAAAGGCTTGGTCATTTCTTCTAACTTGGTTTCTATGAGGTAGCACAGTTCTGAACTTATAGAAATAAATACATGGCAACTGTCACTCCTTCAATAATAGGATACCTGAAGAAGGATGACTGCATTATTTCAAAATGTAACTCAAGAGACGTTAGGGATACTAAACTATATGTATTATACTCCCCAGTTTTTTTAGTGTTTGGCTCCAAAGGTGTACAAATTGATATACTGAAACATTGATTGAGGCAAAAATTCGACTTTAGTCACAGGTTGATGCACATGTTTGTTGAAAATTGGATCTTCGGACTCAGGATCAACCAGGCTGAGAGATTCACCCAGATTAGAAACACAAGTATAATGAATTTCAAAACAAATAAAAGACTGTGACCTAATCTTTAGGATTTCTACAATCTGAAGGATATTTCAAGATACAGTAAGAAGGATGTATGCTACTAGTTTGTGAAGTAACTATGGAGATGCAGAAATTAGAAGATTAATAATCTTATTGTCCTACTTAATCCATAGTAAATAGATTAATGAATAGTTTTTAATTTAAAATTGTTTTTAAACAATCTTTTTATCACTTTACATACCAATCCCAGTTTCCACTCTGTCTCGTCATACAACTCTATGCTCTTTCTCCCTCCTCATCCCCATATTCTCCTTAGTGAAAATAAGACTTCCCATAGGAAGTTAACAAAGTTTAGAACATCACTTTTCAGCAGGGCTAAGGCCACCCCCACTATACCTAGGCTGAGCAAGGTATTCCCTCCAAAGAAAATGGGTTTTAAAAAGCCAGTTCAAGCACTAGGGATAAATTCTGATCCAACTTAAAGTGGTCTTATAGACTGCTCAAGCCTTACAACTATCACTAACATTCAGAGAGCATAGTTTGATTCTGTGCATGTTCCTCAATTGTCACTCCAGAAGGAATGAGTTACCACTAGCTCAGGTCAGCTATTCTGTGAGTATTCCCATAATGGACTTGACCCCTTTGCTTATATTATTGATCCTCCCTCTCTTTGACTGGTTGGGAACTTGACCCAGTGTTTTTCACTGTGGATCTCTGCATTAGCGTCCTTCACTTGTTGGAGGAAAGTAGCCGTCAATTTGATTATGGGGGAGGCTACTTCAGGCACCCTCTCCACTACCACTTAGGGTCTTGGCTGGGGTCATGGAGCGGTGGGGCTGCATCCCCAGCACCCCAGCCGCCTGCTAGCTTATGCCCCGAAATAACAACACACAAACTGTATTCATTTAAACACTGCTTGCCCATTATATCTAGCCTCTTCTCGGCTAACTCTCGCACCTGGACTAGCCCATTTCAAATAATTCGTGTAAGCACCCCAAGGTGCGCTTACCGAGAAGATTCTAACCTATGTCCATCTTGGGTTGGAGCTTCATCGTGTGTGCCTCAGAGAGCAGAGCTATCGGGAGAGCGGAGCATGGCGTCTCTACTCCAGAGCACAGAGCTGAGTCTCTCT